CAAACGATTTGCTAACGATTGGCAAGGTCAATTTGGTTCTACAAATGAAAATTAGGAAAGTCCGATGGTAACTTTTGCATATTATTTTCATTAATTAGTAAAAAATCAAAGAAAGGCCTACAAACATTTTAATCACTATTACAATGTCATACAAATGGTCCTCACAATTCCTCTCTGATGGTCGAAAACACCATACTAGGTGTGAGTACCAGTGTCTGCGCATGCGCCGATGCAAACACTATAGACCTTTTTTTAAATTAATTAAAATCTAATGAATAATTACGTGTAAAAGAATGAAACCAAGGTATTTATTATCTACAAACGATTTGCTTCCCATTGGTTAATATTATTTCGGTCTACAAATAAAAATTAGTGGGGTGGGGTTCTAACTTCCGCTCATTATTTTGTTTAATTAATTAAAAAATAATGAAGGGTCTACAAAATTTTTTAATTGTATTACAATGATGTACAAAGGTCCTACTATTGATCTAAATAAAAAAACTAATGAATTTTCAATTATGTGGTGCCAACTACCAGTCACCCCCTCAATCTCTGTAAGGAAAAAATAAAAATATCAACGAAAGGCATCGCACTCAGATACATCAATTCGTTTCCCCGCGCCAAGCGAAGATGGCCTTGTTTTACCCTCTCTTTCGCTCTCACATGTTCCGTGCAAACACATAATTTCGAGAAACCTTCCATTCCGAGAATGAGGAGAAAAATTCTCCACCGCTCACGAACTAAATTTGGGTCGTATTCGGCATTACACAATTGCGAAAGATTTATTTTTACTGCATACGTGACACCGTTAATTGATTTTTCATATTGAAACAAAATTTTACTTTTTCAGCTCTTGGACGAAATCAATGAATTTTGTTTTTTTAAAAACATTCACGTGTTTTTCCGCGAATTGGAGTATCGAGGAAGCTACGTTCCCTTCAGATTTCCTTTTGATGACAATCGACGTTTTCTGTGGATCAATAATTGTACATCTATGTTAAAATTTATTTAAAAAATATTATAATTGTGATGGATTCAACGCCATGATTTTGTCTCTTACAGAAACTGAAGCATGAAACGGGTTTCGATGGATGGATAATGTCATCCCCAATGGAACGTCATTAGTTTAATTCCTTAATATTAATTAAAAGAAAAAAGACAAACTTTTAATTGGCCGGTAAATTATTTTCATGTCACTCAGGGCTTGCAAAGCACTCAGGTTTCTCTCAACGCGATGACTTTTATCGCCGTTTTTTTTTTTCTTACGGAGATTAAGCGATGAAATGCCTGTCGATGGATGGTGGATTCAATTTCCCATCGAATACAATGAGGAAAGAAGGTACAAATTTTTGACTGGCGTGTGAATTATTTGTAAATCACTGATTGCTTCCATGTTCTCCATTTATTTTCCGCCGGTGAAGACTTCCCACTTTAGCTCCCCGATCTCCTCGATTACCGCCACTCTATCTGTACTTCTTCTACGCCGTTATCGACATTCTCGGCCTTGTGCTCTGCCTTATTCACGGGTACCGCCTCTGATTTAGTTCCGTAGCCGCCGCTAGGAAATTTCGGTGTTGAACCTTTACCATAAGCGCTGCTGATAATCCCCTATAATCTCTGTTCCAACCTCCGACAATATCAAAATCATTTTTCCATAAACTTTATTGATTGATTTGAACAACACTTCTACCATCACACTGTCTCCTCCAATCTGATGGTAAAGAATGCCAGAGCGTCAAAAAGTCATAAACTCTCTGCATAGTGAACCGAAAAAATAATTCGCACTTCTTTGAATTTAGAGGTATACCTTCACGGTGAACGCACTATACTTTGCCCTCAGTTTTGTCATCATCGTTACCGGTCTTCGACTTCCTCTTTCCGTGATAAGACACAATGGCGTCTGGAGTAAGTTTTAACCCTCACAATTTTCACCCATTAACATCCGCCTTAATCACCATCTAATATGATTTATTGGAATATAATTAGATATTGCAAATCTTAGATTCCTTAATTGTGTAATTATTTTCCTTCGCAGACTCTGTACACGTACCCAGAGAATTTCCGAGCTTACAAGGCCCTGATTGCGGCCCAGTACTCCGGTGCTCAAGTGAAAATTGCTGAGAACTTTGTTTTTGGAGAGACAAACAAATCTGAAGGTTTTTTGAAGAAGTTTCCTCTTGGAAAGGTTAGTCACTTATTTTTTTAAATGCCCAGATAATCCGTATTCAAGTAATTTTTGGTTTAAGTCACTTCAACGTGATAGTCACTTTATGATTAATTTTTTGTATATAATATTCTTAACGGTTGGAGACATTACGTCCCTCATTGATAATGACATATGGTAGGGTAAAAATTCATCGATTTTGTTAAAAATTATTGAAGTTAATTACCACTATAAAAAGAAATTCCCCATTTTTATTTGCTACTCAACTCTTCAATCTGTCAACCGCAAGTTAATTGAAATTTTTCTTTTTAGGTACCAGCATTTGAATGCAAAGATGGAAAGTATCTCACAGAGAGCAATGCAATTGCCTACTATGGTAAGAAATCATTAATTTCTTGTAAGATAGTATTATCGGTGACGTATTGAAAGCATTTTGTGGTTTTGCACGAGATAAATTGATACTCAGGACAACTTATGGAAAGAAGAAAGGATTCATTTGTAATTCTGATTAAATTTTTCCATACTAACCATTAGAGACTCTGGTGAATTAATATTTTGGCAACTACCAATTGTAAGGTGGAAGTTCTACGATGTGCTAGATTGGGAAGAATTACCTGCGTTTTATGGTCATTTTCGCAGGAATATATCTCGAATCTAAGCGGCCAAAAAATCTAGAATCCCCATAAATAGTATTCCCAAAAACTATATTTTTTATTTTCCTCTGATCCCAAAATACTTATCTATTCATATTTTGTTGATAAATTAGTGAAAATCATCTGCTACAGCATTTTCTTAATTAGTCTCCCATTGTCGAAATGAAAGAATAGTTATTAGTGGTTCCAATCTACTTCATTTGAGAAGGCATGGTTGTTTCTGAAGAATTTCGTGCGAAATTACAAAATCATTTAATTCTTTCATGATTCTCAGTGGCAAATGAGCAACTTCGAGGAAAGACTGAAGCAGAACGTGCTGAGGTGATTCAGTGGTTCGGTTTTGCTGACTCCGAGATTCTTCCTGCTAGTTGTGCTTGGGTGTTCCCACTTCTGGGAATAATGCCATACAGCAAACAGGTGTTAACTATTTATTAATTAATTTTTTACTCTCCCTCAAAGGCGAACTAGTAAATTCTTCTTTATAATTTCGTAACTCAGGGAGATATATCAAACACTATCAGTCACTCGCTAGCTCGGAATATTTATGTACTAAATTTTCCATTCATTGACTGGTATCAACAAATTTCATACAGGTTTCTTCCAATAATAGATCTTATTGAAAAACTTACAGTTTTTAAACATATAAATCATTTTCAATTTTGGAATCATTAAACTATTATTTTTAGCTCATTGAACATGCTAAGGAGGATGTGGGAAAAGTACTAACTGCCCTTAACGCCCATCTCCTCTCCAAAACCTACTTAGTCGGTGAGCGTATTACCCTTGCTGACATCAGTGTAGCAATGACACTTCTCCATCTATACCAGTACGTTCTGGAGCCGAAACTTCGTCAGCCTTATCAGAACGTTAACAGGTGGTTCCAGACTATTGTGTATCAACCAGAGACAGTTAAAGTCATCGGTACTTTTAAATTAGCCGATAATACTCTGGAGTATGACCCAAAGAAGTTCGCTCAGCAACAAGGAAAGGTAAGTGAATGAATCCCCACAATCTGTCTGAAATAATCGAAAAAAAGTTGTCTAGAACTATTTGATTGTTTATCACTGAAACGATTTTTGTCTTGGAAAAGAATAGTTTTTCCTACTTCAACCATCCATCGATGTACGCATTCTTCCGATAAAGAACTAGTATATTACGAGACAAGGCCAGAAAGTGGGATTTCCTGGCGTGCGTGATATGAGGGCCGAGGCGAAGCCGAGTGAATCCGTCTTCCTGGCCGTGTGTCGTATACTATTTTTCTTTATCCCTGTCCGAAAGTGCGGTAGACCAGAAATATTTTAATATTTAATAAGTGGTAACTGAAAATAGTATATTTGTAAATTCGTCGTTTGGCTTTTGTTATTAATTGAGCGCCTGTGCGGGATGTTCATGTGTACGGCTATACCATATAATCACACCTCGTGAAGACTAGATTTTTTCTATTTCGATGTTGACAACAACATTCTCTCGCCAGTTACATGGGAGCCCGCCCGACTTTTGCAAAACCGAGGCGAAGCCGAGGTTTTTGCTGGTCGGGGCGGGCGAAAAGTGGGAACTGCATTCAAAAAATTTCATATACACGGAGAGAAAAATACCGGAAAAATTACGGAACTTTCGCGTATTCGTGGGGTGACCTTGCTTTTCGGGAAAAAGTACTGGAGGTACCGTAAAATTGTCCTGAAAGTTTCATAAAAATTCCTGCTCGCTACGAAAATTTTTACGGAACTTACAGTATTTTTTCCCGAAAACCAAGGTTACCCCACGAATACGAGAAAGTTCCGTAATTTTTCCGGTATTTTTCTTTCCGTGTAATTGCTGCAGAAAAAGTAAAATCCAGAAAATGACTATTTATAAATATGTATGATTTTGTCATTTATTTTGCGGATTATTCTCGTTATCACAATCACCTCGATAAATATTAAAAGTACAATGGTTGAAAGTACAGTTCTCAAATCTTGAATAATGCCAATAATTTTGGCTTCTACATCAAAACTCCTAAATATTTCCTCCTCGTCCGCAGATCCATCAGATGAAGAATCATCCATTTTAGCACTGGGTCACTCTCTTCGGTCAGAGGCAGTCGACACGGTTTTGGAAAAATCCGAGAAACGAATTTTTTTAAACTAATTATCGTTCAACCAAACTTTCAAACTTGTAAAATCACAGCACTGATAACCTGTCACATTTGTGTACAGTCCTCGCCTGGAGATAAGACATATGAATAACGCGCGCCACAAAAGGCGTTGTTCCCGGAGCAAAATTGCGCCGGGAAGACCGCACTTTCGGGTCGGGGATCAAGCAAACTATATTTGATAAATTCAATTAACAATGGAGCATTTTTGATTTTAAAAGACCATATAACACAACTGTATGCTTATTTCAATATTATTATTGCACAAAACTCGGTCAAGGCCAAGTAGATTTTGTCCCCATACCATCTATATGTAGGAAGTTATTTCCACGAAAAAGAGAAAATAATTTTTTCCTCGTACTCACTTCCACAAACATTAAATTGTATATTGGAATGTGGCTGCAAGTGAATAAATAATTTTTAAGGAGCCGTTTAATACTTGATAAGGTATTCTTTATTTTTACTAGAGGAAAATTGTCCAAGGACTGACAATGACCATAGAAGCAAAAATTCTCACTGGAAAAACCAAGAACCAAAGCTAAGGTTTATGAAACAAGAAAACACAGGTCTTTGAAATTTCAACATATGTTGAAACATATGTAGCATTAAACCCTTGGAGAAAGTGGAAATTAAACGATTGGAAACTAGTCTTTTTCTAGGCCTATTTTCCGCGGTATGTCATACATCTTTGTCGAGTAATTTTTGTAAAACAATGGAGGATCTGTACTCAACTGTTCCAACGTTATAAATTGGTGGAAAAATAACGAGTAATTAAAAAACAGTTGTGATATAAATAGATTACGGATGGAAAAAAAACAAACGATAGGTAGCAAAAGGTACACAATGAAACTAGCAAGTATAGGCAAATCGTCTTCTCAACATAAGACTTTGTGATCTCATTTTGCCACAATGTATACTTGTACTGAAAAGTAACTTAAATTTATTATCAATAAAACTTTGATTGATATGTGTAAACTTGAACACTTTTCTTATCTGCTTTTATTACAAAATCGAAAAAAATAGGTCAATGAATGAATCATAAAGGGCCATGAAATATTTACTTGCTCATTCGATAGTACATAAATATTCTAATTGTTAATTAAAACTTAATTCACAGTCAAAGAAAGAGAGAGAAGAGAAAAAAGAAGCTCACAAGTTGGAAAAGGAGGAGGTAACTGAGGACCTTGATGCTACTGACGTCGCACTGGCTGCGGAACCTAAAACCACAGATCCTTTCTCTGTTTTACCCAAAGGTACCTTCAATATGGACGACTTCAAACGGTGCTACTCCAATGAAGATGAGACTGTATCAGTTCCCTATTTTTGGGAGAAATTTGACGCCGAGAACTATAGCATTTGGTTCGGCGAGTACAAGTATAACGAGGAGTTGACCAAAACCTTTATGTCTTGTAATCTCATCAGCGGTATGTTCCAACGTCTTGACAAGATGAGAAAAGGTGCATTCGCTAGTGTCTGCCTATTCGGAAGTGACAACGATAGCTCTATTAGCGGTGTTTGGGTTTGGCGTGGACAAGATCTGGCATTCACAGTTAGTTTTTCATTTATTTATATATTATTATAGTGGATAGTGGATTTATATATTATCATATTCAAAATTTAAATACGAAAGAATCGTAATTTTTCGAAAAATGCTAGTCATTTTTTCGAGTACATAATTTTCATTCATTTAGTCGGTCAAATTCAATTAAATTGTTGCGCATGTTGATGCCTAAATCCGAGGTTATTGAGGAAGTACCTTCGAAGTTCAATGTAGTCTTTAATATTGAAAAAAATACAAACAAAAATTCGGTAGAAGAGTATAATTCCATCCATCTATTCTAAGAGATATGTGCTTCGTGCTTCAATTCACTATCCCGAATCGAAATATTTTGCATGAGACAGCCCCCGTATTTTCTTTTTCTATTTTATGAAATGATTTTTTAAGGATTCTCAAGCTGACATTTTTCGTATTTCATGTTTTAAAAATCGGTCGTTTCTGAGAAACCTTCGTAATTATCTAAAACTACACTATTATTCGAATCAACACAATGTGGAAGGTCAATTCAAAGATTTGGTTTTAATTCAACTTACTTATTGAGAAATTCCAAAAATAATTACAATTTCAGAGTTTTCTTATGAATTTCATACGAATTTATATATCAATGATTGTTTTTCCATGCTTTTCAGTTAAGTCCGGACTGGCAAATTGATTATGACTGTTACAATTGGAAAAAACTTGACCCAAAGGATCCAACAGCGAAGGATCTCATCGACAAATACCTCAGTTGGACAGCTAGCGATAGCAAGGGGCGCAAGTTCAAGGAGGGCAAGATTTTTAAATAAAATCCGTCTTACGCTTTACAAGAACAAGGACAAATCTTTATTCAACACGAAATAAACATTGCAAAGTAATAATACCATCAAATCATTAATTTTTATTTTTATCGATTATAAACTTCACTGCTCCTCTTCGCCCCATCTTTTTATTTGCTAAATGGTTCATTGTTATTTCAATTTAAAAAAAAAATAAAAAAAGAAAACATTCATTATTCATTAATTTCTATAAATGATCATTTATTATTCGAACCCAACGTAGAATATAGGATAAACCCTAGAGGACCTTGTCGATCCCTTTGACAGGCAATGGGAAGGTGTCTTCGATGGAGTGAGAGTGTAATAGAATTTCTTGCACTTCTACGTTACTAAAAGATGCTCCATAAACTTCAATTTTATGAAATGACAACTGTTTTTTTTTTCCTTAAAGATTTTCATGCATTCTTACTTTAATACGAAATTATCTGATTTTACGAGAAAAGCTGTAGACTTTCGAGGCTACTCAATAGAATGCATAGGTTTTATTCTTCAAGCATTATCAGTCTGCTTCTGGCTATGAAAGGATGCTTTAAAATTGTCCAATTTTTAGATTCTGTATTTTTACTTGGAAGCGATGTAGAATGGTCTAAATCGTAAAAGTTTAAAATTTGCGTACCCATGTGTGCACATTGTCATTTTGACTCACTCGATGGTCAACTTTTAAAAAACTAAAGGAATGAACGATTAAAGTTCTGAAAAATCTAAATTTTCGAAAATTTATAGGTATTGTAGGATTATAAGAATTAAGTAACTCGCATTCAGCTCAATCGGTCTAGTCGGTACCGACAAATCGCCATGTTTCTGGAAAGTTTTTCGTGAATATCTGGGAAACTATCCACTGATTGAATTTTTTTTTATCACAATGTGCCAAAAAGAAGCTTTTCAGGCACGCTCCGCTTCGCTTGGCATGCCAAAAATTTCCCAATGCCAAAAGTTTTCCAATGCGAAGAAATAGTATATTTCTCCCCTAGGGAGGTAAAGTAAAGAAGGATTGCCTACGTGGATTAGTGGTAAGCACGTGGGCAAGCCTTCTTTACTTTACCTCCCTAGGGTCCTCCTAAGGCCCCTTTATTTTACCTTCCATAATGAGAACATCATTTTTCTCCCCGGCGTAGAAGCAAAGCCAGAATTCGTGTGGCATATATTAGTTTTTACGAAGCTTTGACGGTCACAGGTTTCTTTGATGTATGTCAAACGAAAGACTTGGTATGAATTATATCCACTAGATTCTCAGCATGATATTTCCGTCGAACTGTCATCAACAATAAATTTCGAGAGGTCAAAAAACATTGGCAGCCAAATAATTCCTAAAATGGTCAATGGACAGTCCGTAAGTGCATAAAGTCTATGCACTTACGGACTGTTCATTGACCATTTTAAGAATTATTTGGCTGCCAATGTTTTTTTTTTCAAGAAATCAAAAAACATTGACAGAGAAATAATTCTTAAAACGGTCAATGAACATAAGTGCATAAAGAACATAATGAACGGTCAATGTCCGTAAGTGCATAAAGTCTATGCACTTACGGACTGTTCATTGACCGTTTTAAGAATTATTTCTCTGTCAATGTTTTTTGATTTCTCGAAAGTTATTGTTGATGAAAGCCATAAAGGCACCTAGACCACACATGAGTATCTTAGTCGACGTGAAACTCACGCAAATTCACAATGCGTGTATGAAAATTAAATTAGAGATTCAAGAAAGTCCAAGAAAAGTAATGGTTATTTTTATGAAGGGTGATCTATCCTCCACGGTGTGGCCTTAATAAAGGTCTTCCAGACGAAAGGCCTGGGAAACGATTTTGTCGACGCGTAGCGTCCAGAAAATGGTGTTTTTCAGGCGCTAGTCTTGAAATTTTTTTTTGTACTGATGACAGATTTAAAATAGCAGAAGAAACTTTAACAATTTGATTCTTTAATAGTTCAACCATCACCAAAACTCACAACTTTCATTTTTATGGGCCGATTAATAAGGGGAAAGATGGTTAAAGATTAGACATTTGATTGTCAGTAGTCAGTATATATTCCAAATAAATATTGATAACACTAGGATGACTCCTTCCTTCTCTGTAGCATGTGATTGATATTTTGGTGAGGAAAAATTTAAGAGAAATGAAAGAATAAGATACTTTTATTTTACAGAATTGGCTTCTCTACATTGAAAGATTTCCTTACATCTTTCTCTGAAGGATTAGATTGTAATTTCAGATATCACCACCATGTTATTTAAAATCCTCTCTCAGAAAGCCACTCTTTGATGAGAGACACCTGATCACCGCGGAATCTTAAGACACCATTAGGCTCCAGGATTTGGGAACCAATAGGGCGACCAGTTGATTTGCGTAGGTATTGCTTGAGTTCCGCGTGCAAGACAATTATGTCTCCTTGGATTTTTCTAACATACGTGACTCTTCGCAATCCTCGTTGATCTATCTTGAGGTAAACTGGTTGTTGATGATTTTTGGAACGTTCAATGTAGTAGGGAAAAGATTTCGCTTCATCTGCAATTACCATGTCAATAAAATATAAGAATATCATGAAAAAAAAAAGATAGTGTTAATAGATTTACATTTTAATATCTTCTACAAAAGGATGATAATTGGTGATTTTGCTTTTGTCTGTTAGAGAACACATCCTCCAATCTTTATGCACACGCGTTCATTTTGAAGATATTTGAAAAAAACGATGTCCCAATAAGTTGTAATTTATTGTCTTTTAGAACTTTTCTAATGCATTACTATTTCAATATTTATTTACCTCGTTGTGCCTTCCATCCAGAGGGAAGGTTTTCAATATTTTTCGGAGGATTGGGTATATGTTTCAATTTAACACATCTTTCTACAAACATCCATTCTTTTGGATCTTTAGAAACTTCAAAATCGGTGTATTTTTTCTCTTCATTATATACAGGGGAGGTTTTGAAACTGGCCCATCGTTTCTCGTTCTGAAAGTTCATAATTGCATTGTATAATTTTCTTGCAAATCTTTTCATACCGCTAATTATGATAATATCATTAAAAAGAAAATAAAACCACTACTCTGGAGAAACACTTCGAAAACTTACAATGATTATTTTTATTTTTCACATTGTTTAACATATAAAAATATTTTGGAAGGGTTACTGAAAAAAATATCATTTTCGAGATTTACTCGTAAGTAAAACAATTCTAAACATAGCTTTATCCTGCTATCACATTGTTCATAGGGTCAAGGAAAGATTACCATTTTTCTCTATGTCTCTATTTAATTCCAATTGTAAAAATCCAATATTAATGCAATTTAAATCCAACTATTATTGAATCCATGAAAAATTTATTAAATTGAAGCCGAGTGATCAATTTCGATTAATAGTGGACGTACCCATTGACATGAACTGAAAATTCAAAAAATTTGCAGAGTCTTGACATTTCCGTTTGGTATACTATATATTTAGGGGCGTTTATAGTTTATGTGAGCAAAATTAGTATTCCAGTTGAAGGTGAGGACTGGCCAACAACTCGATGGGCCAACTGGATTAAAGTTGTTTGAGAAAAAAGAAATATTCAAAATCTATAGCAAAACAACAATCCATCAGCGAAAATGCGCTGTAAAAAATGGAATTATAAGGAGTGTCAACTATTAGTTCAATAAATACTTTTTTTTTCAATTTTCGAGCGCCTTTCGTGTTGGTGTGATATTTTTGTGATAAGTTATTTATTAAAACGACGTAAGACCCAGTTGCGCTAGATCTTATAAACTCTCTAATTAAAAAAGGAAATATAGTCTTCGAGTCGAATATATTCCAGACTGACGACGGATTGTAGGAAGCCTGTCAGCCAAATAAGTAGAATAATCAATGAATTTATGGAATAAGTTCATGTCTGGGGTAAATTTATTCCAAAATTACATAATTTTAGAAATTCATCTGTTGTATAACTATTGTAGACTGTGAGCTCAAAGAGGTAAATCCCATAAATTGGTTATAGGTATCTAGATATTTAAGTATGAGATATAGTATTTAATGAAATCTGGGACATGTTACAGTTGGAGCACAAATAATTCAAGACTTTATAATTGGCGGTATTATTGACAAATGGTGATGCTACATCGATATACCATTTTTTTTAATGCTGGATGAAATTTCGATGAAACTTGATTGACAAATTATTGTCATTCATGGCGATATTTAACGGAAAATTTTTTACCCAGAATAGAATTTCGTTAGAGCTAAGGAAAGTATTATCAAAACGACGATTGTCCAAAGTGTTCTTGGGTTTTGTCGGCTTCAAATTACTTTTAATCAGCAAAACTCCACCGATTATTAATGTTATTAAGGGCAAATTCAACCAGGATGTATTTAGTCTGCTCCGCAACGATTTTCCATCAAATATCTTAGAATTACAGCCACATAATCGAATCTGATTGCAAACTGTATCTGCAACTTGCATTTGTTATTGGAATAATGATTTCCATACAAATTTCGCTATCCGTGTCAGATATTAGACAACTTATCGAATATTAACCCTAGTATTAGACCAAACCGATTTCAATAGCCAATTGATAACGGCAACTATTCTACAAATTACCGGCGAATTTCTTGCTATGCATTTGCAGAAACACTCATTAACCCTTGAGAATATTTTTTTTTTTATTAAAACCCTTGAGAATATCTTCTCTATATAAGTAAATTGCATCATAAAACCGAAAAAAAACTCAAAGCTAAGCATTGTGCCCATAACTACTTCATCAACGTTATCACTAATTTCTTAAACTTCTCTGGATTTTGTAATAACAAGTTTGTACCTTAATTTCCGAAACAAAAATTTCTATCAGTATCGTCTAAGCTTTTGATGAAGTACAACAATTTGTCAATAGATTGTCGACATTCTGTAGTCTGCGTTTTGCATTTCAATTGTTAAAAAAATCGAAATACTTGATGTTTATTCCATTTCATTCGGACTCGAAAATACTAAAATAAATGAGCAATAATAAAATTAATAGTAAAGCGTCAACGGTTAAGGGGTCAAGTCAGAAAATGTGAATATTATAGAAAAGTGGAACTACCGATAGTAATTGTACTTTCGGAACTTTGAATAAAATCTCTCATGGATTTCGTTCATCATCACGAATTATCAATATTATCAGTTGCAACGTATGCCGACGATTTGTCATTATACTTAGTCTGGCTACTTTTATAGTAAAACGGATATAAAACAAATTACCATGCTTCAATCATTCCTATCATAGACGCATCATCCTTAAAAATTCCATTCAATGTTGAACTCATTACAATTTTCCCACCAAAATGGACAAAATAATGAAGATAATTTCGAAATCACTAATATTTCAAGCACTGTGAACAAACTTAACTATGGTATGCTACTTAACTAATGGAGCAGTGGAACGTAATGGGTAGAGTTTAAGATATTTTCAAACTATACGTTCATTTCTAAAAACCAGAGATTTTTCTACAGAAATCCATGAAAGCATCTTATTAAAGCTTCAATGGGAATCTTAACCCCTCAAAGATATTGAAGTAGAATGAAAAATTTCTGTTGCCATATAACGATTGTATCCCAACAATGATTAGAAATAGGAAATACACTGCTATTATACTACTCTCACCCTTAATGGCTCAACCTACTCAGAAAACCTCCAATAAACAAATATATGTATCTTAAGCTAAAAATAATAGTCAGCAGGCAGGATCTCGTTGAAAATTATGTAGCAATTATTTAGCAATACTCACTCTGGGTTGGAGCTGATTTTCCTGTAGAGAGAGTCTGTCAATTCCCTTTGAATATTGCTGGCACGTGGAAAGCACGGGACGTGCAAAAATTCGTAGGGCCGCCATTTTGACTCTGTTAAATATAAGGGTCGGTGTGGTCAGCCATTGATGTGTGCTCACGGGCGCGTCTTCCTTTTCGTTCTCGTGTTCATCATTACATCTAAAAATCCACCCGAAGCCAATTCCTCAATTTCATACCTCACACCACTCCCAATCCAATCCAACCCTCTCAAAGTGCATAAAGTACACCTTACAATCCAGTCCCCTAGACTCCCCCAAAAAAGGTTGGAATTTTCAATCATACCTCAACATTCGAATCACAGTGTTGAACCATAGCCAGTGGTAATAGGAAGAATGGTAAATTTGTATGGTGGAAAAAAATAGTGCAAGTGAATAACTCAGTCAGTTTTGCATTGCCAGTTTCATTCATAAGTTATCGCGAATGAACCTAATTCTCCGCCAGTGCAACTGGATACCAGTGTTTCTCTTGGCATTGCATTAATATTTATTACATTCAGGAAAAATCAGTGTCCAATCATATTCTGCTAACTTTCAATTTATTAACTTGATTGATTAAAATTCGAAAACAAATAAACGACAAACACAAGTTCTAGGATTATATTTATTGTGGTGGTCGCTGAGAAGCGGTGAGAAATAACAATAATGGAATAATTCACTAAAAAATTCGATGAAGATAAAGCACATATCGAAGATATATTAGTGGGTGAAATGTTGTGCTACGTGTGAAGTATATCTGCTCTCTTTCATGTCCACCCCCGCGCAATCAAATGAATCGAGGATTTTTTTACCCATTAACTCTGAGGGGTAGAGAGTAGATTTACTCAAAATAGTGGATAGAACGAAAAAGGAATAATAAGGAATACTGAAGCAACACGTCCTAGGGACCAATGTGTTAGCCCAAATAGGCTATGTATAATATTACAATGATTCACCAGTAGATGGTAGTAGTGTGAAAAAGCAGCAAGTAGTACCAGGCGTATAAGAGGCAACCCTGCAACGGTACTGGTGTGTGTTTTTCCACGGGTTTAACATTGTTAAGTTATTCCCGTTGTTTCATCCTGTTACAACAATATACCGAAACAAATTTCGGCCTCATTGGTAAGTTCACTATGATCATTAACTAATCATTATATATTTAAAGGCTTGCGCATACCCTACGACGCCCAACAATTCGGTGAAAAATCTTGGCGACTCCGACTTTTCCCCGACCTTTTGTTTATTCGTGGCAGATTCTCTCACTCTTCTTTTTTCTCCGAGTTACGTCTACTTGTTTTTTTTCATCGAGTTTTCAAGTCTTTTTGCATAAGCTTTGGAAGAATCCTCGGTTCCTCTACAGTGGGTGATGGAGCAAGGGAATTTTTTCGATGAAAACCTTCACGATATTATGAGGTGTATGGGAAGGGCACAGTTTTGGAATTTCGTGAGGAATTGTATTGCGATATCGCACTGGGAAAATATACCGAGCGTTCCGTTGTTACTTCTCCATTACCGTGTGCTCTCCTGTTGGTGAGAATTCACACCACATTTTTGTAGGATTTTCGTATGCGGGGAAGAGTTTGGGGCAGCGGTAATGCAAAGTTTGTCACGTAAAATTTTTTCTCAGCTGCATGTAGAGGTTGGGGACTTTGTCAAGTTGTCGATGGCTAGTAGAGAGTAGGGGGAGACAAGTTGGTCGGTTAGTGGGATATGAGATTTAGTTTAGACGGGTTTCAGGGCATATCGATATGAACATCCAAGTGGGCCTGACGTAAGGCTTGTTCCTTCACTCTCAGATGATTTTCACCTCTCTTAGTCCTATTTTGCCTATTTCTTCCTGGCGAATTATCAAATTGTGAGAGTTTCTCTCCAAATTCTTATTAACTTAGTTCAATAGTCATTCCCGTTTCTCATAATTGGAATTTTCTCAAATTCAAATGAAAAAGTAAAAAAACAATAAAAAAAAAAGGTGGAACAGTGTTTTGGTTATGGTTTTACTAATGAATTTTTTGTTTTAAGAATATCAAAAGTACACTGCTTGATTATGAATGATAAATCTTGAAATTTTCAAATAAGCTAAGCCTGTAATTGTAAGAGAATGGAAATTAATTTTTATTTCCACAATTCAGAGGTAAACAGCATACCTTGGCACATAAATATAAGTAAGGGAAACAATTGGATTATCGAGTCCAGACAACGGGTCAATCCTCGAGAATGCTCAAAATTGTTATTTTTTCTTTTAGTTATTCATTCTCCCGAGCTCCACGTGCCCATGCTGGATTGCTAAAAAATATCGATAGGAAGTTACTATACGGCCCATTCCGCCCATCGTTCAGAAGCTATGCAGGGTTTAATTTTTGATCGTTCTACAGATATCTTCGGTTATTAGGCGACGGTATAAGAGCAAAATAAAACCTGCGCATTTACATACCAACAGATTGAAAACAAACGCTAATTGAAAAAAGAACTTTGATGTAAAACACGATTGATTTTTCTTATGTCTCTTCATTTGTTTGGCTTGTGCTCGTTGATATCCTTCATATTAACTATTTTGCAAATTTCTGACACTTTCTTGAATAAAAATTTCAGTACCAAACCGTCAGTCAGGCAAGTGGACACTAAGAAAAATAAGTAGAGTTACCTCGAAAATATATTGCCAGGATGTATATGGGGCATTCCATGCCAATTTAACCACTTTTGAACCCGACCTTTTGATCTGGCCAAACATTTTTCATTCCTTCTTACCCCGTGAGAATCATTTCTCAGAATTGTTGGAAGTTTTTCACCCAACCCGAAAAAAGTTATAATTTTTTTTATGCCTTTTGTATTTCCAAATAGCCATCCCTTCTTCACAACTTGATCTTTTAGTACTTCTTTCCTAAATGTTTGTTTTTGAATGAATTTTTCGAAAAAAAATACACAAAAAAATTAAGATAATAAACTCAGTCAATGAAACCTTCATTGAATGAATTCAATTCAATTTCCAATGAAATTTTCGCCTTTGCCAAGAAAAAACGTTATTTTTTGGTAAACTCGCGATTTTTAATTTTTCTTCCTCAAAAAAAAAACGTCAACTAATTCGGCGATTATTCCCACTAATCCCGATGTGGGTCGATTTTTTCCTCTATTTTTTAAATTTCAGTGGAAAAACATTTTTTTATATTAAGAATTGAAACAAAAATATTTTTCATAAACGTTATTCATGCAATAAAATAAACGCATTCAAATTTTTTTCCAGTATTATATTATCAATTTATCGTCTCAATCTACAGTTATAATGACAACAATTAATGTTTATTATATATATGTCAAATTAAGTTTTTAAACGCAAATAAAGACATAAGAAATAACTATGCAACTAATAAATAATTTGTTGCATTATTTTTTGAATCCTTGAATGTTAACTGTAACAGACATTAATCTTAAACATTATAATCATAGATTAAGACCACAAATTGATGAAATAATACTGTAAAATCATTGAGATGCATTTATTCTATTGTGTAAACAAAATTTTAACGATGAAAATTGCAAAATTTTTTCTCAATCAAATAAAAAAAGTAGAAAAAGAAATCGGCCCACGCTGGGATTGGTGGAAATAATCGCAGAATTAGTTGAAGTTTTTTAGAAAAAAGTCCAGTTCTGGAGGAGTTATGGCTATTTGAAAATAGAAAAGCCATTGAAAAAAAAAATCATAACTTTTTTTGGATTGAGTAAAAAAATTTGTAAAAATTCTGCGTAATGTTTCTCATGGGGTAAAAAACAATAGAAAATGTTTGGCCTGGTTGAAAGGGATCGGGTTCAAAAGGGGTCGACTTGGCATGGAATACCCCATATATATAAAGGGCTACATGGAAGCAGCACATTTTTTCCATATAAAAAATACCATATTTAATTCAAACTTTCTGTTATTTTGAACATACATATGTAAACAGTTTGCTGAAATTTTCATTAGAAAATCCGGAAAACTCAGCCAATGAAACGTAATTTTCCGTGATCCCTTCGAAAAAAAGTGCCCTTAAAACAGAACTCATGACCGGATCATTCAAAATTGATTAGAGAATTGCGACTTTTAAGTACCACCTTGAACTAGTTTTTAGAATGATAAAAAAAATACAAATAAAATCAAGCTGTGTGAAGCTAGCATCGAAGTTGAAGGAAAAAAAAAAATTTCAAGTGCAATCGATTGTACTTGTTAAGTACCTGAAGGTACCATCGTCTGTTTTATTTGTACCCCTCACCCCTAGGCGCAAGGGATGAAGGAAAATTCGTGCAGCGTCGAAGTTGAAGGTAGAAAAAAAAATTTTATGGACATGGTTTCTCTAGCGATAGTACTTGATTGTACTCTATTTTTTTTCGTTCTACAACCCCCCC